AAAAAAGGAGAAGGCTGGGGAGGAGGAGAGAAGTGGGCAGGAAAGCACAGTCAGTGCTGACACAGCAGGAGCACTGGCAAAATGTCTGGAAGAGAAAAGCTGTCTGAGAGGAGTAATACGCTCATTTTTTCTGGGATTGCCCAGGCAGAGCAAACATTGGAGGTACCAGTTTACAGATCAGACGCTGCAGGCTGTCGTCTGAAGGGTCCTGCCTTCAAATGTCAGCAGTGCTAGTGCTCGCTTGAGTTTCCTAAGCAGCTCAAATGCCATTTGAGACACCTTCTTACCTGGCCACAGGATACCTGTTTAGATGGATTTGAATCTCCAGTAAGTCCTATGTCCTACCTGAAAGCCCCATATGGATGTCTTAGATATCCTACAATGTCCAAACACCGAGAAATGCCTGATGTGCCAAAAACTGACTCATCCCTAAAGAATTAGGTGCAAATGTCTGCTTGGCAGCATGATTTGCAGAGCTTATCCAACCAAGCTAGCAGGGGGAGCGACATGCAAAGAGCAATCTGGCAATCTGTCTGAATGATGCACCAACTTGCCTGCGTGGCCCAGACAGTCTCAACAAGCCCAGTGTGTGAGTCAAAGCTGCTTCGTGCTAAGTGGTTTGGTGCTTTGACCTAGACAATGTGAAAACCGAGGCATAGGGGTCTGTGGTCGGAGCTGTGTGTCACACACCTTGCTCCTCGGGCTCCAGCCTTCTCCTGGGGATGGGTGCTTGCAGCAGAGGACATGGCAGCAGCCCTGGTGATGGTTAGAACATTTCACATCTGAGCCTTTGGGCATTTCCCTTAATCTGAAGCTGATGTCATCTGAATTTAGGGCATAAACATTGAAGAGAGAGAAACTGGACCCAGAGTGATTCTTTTTCCTAGCAAATCAGCCCCAAAATGAAGGTTTAGGTCTCTAGAGGCAGATATTGTCCAAGACCCAGATAATGACAATAGAGAATGAATTCTCCTGCTGTGTGCAACAGCTCTTCCCTTGAAAATCAGCTTCATGCATCAGAAAACAAACATTCTTTCCAAGACTGGAACTTTCTTGCAGTCCCAGAGGAAGATTGTAAAACATCAGCTACAGCACCTGTTCACGTCTCATTTCGAAGGGATAAAACCCACTTCTGAGTTTGTGGGGAGAGACAGGAGAGAATAAAATGACATTCATTCAAACTGGTTTAGCAACAAAGGATTTTGGAAATGTGTGCCCTTCCACAAACACCACCAGCATTCTATAATGTCCCTTTTTTGCCCCAGGTACATGTGCTGATACGTCCCATTTGGGGCTGCATCATAAGAAATGTGACCAGCAGGGCAAGAGAGGTGATTCTCCGCTCTGGTGAGACCCCACCTGCAGTTCTGTGCCCAGCTCTGGGTTCCTCAACATAGAAGGGACATGGACCTGTGGGAGTGAGTCCACAGGAAAAATCAAAGATGCTCAGGGGCTGGAGCAGCTCCCCTGTGAGGACAAGCTGAGAGAGTTGGGGCTGTTCAGGCTGGAGAGGAGAAGGTTCTGAAAGGGGAGACCTTAGAGTGTCCTTCCAGGACTTAAAGGGAGCTACAGGAAAGCTGGGGACAATCTTTTTAGCAGAGCATATTGCAACAAGGCAAGGAGTAACAGATTTAACTTAAAAGAGGGTAGATTTAGAGTAGATATAAGGAAGAAATTTTTGCAGTGATGGTGGTGAGACATTGGCACAGGTTGCCCAGAGATGTGGTAGTAGCCCCATCACTGCAAGCATTCAACATCGGGTTGGCTGAGGCTCTGAGCAACCTGATCTGGTCAAAGCTATCCCTGCCCATGGCAGGGCGGCTGGACTAGATGACCTTTAAAGGTCTCTTCCATCCTGTAGAACACCCTGTGTTTCTCACGACTCTCAGGATTTTGTGCTCTCTCTCCACCAGGTCACGCTACGCCGAGTTCCAGTTCAACTGCCAGCCATCCCTGCAGACGGCAAGCGGCTGCCGGCAAGACAGCTACACTGCCTGTCTGCTGGCTTACACGGGGATCATCGGTAAGAGGTTGCATCCTTCAGGTCTCTGTCCTGTTCTCTGGGTGGGAAATTCCTCCCCTGGGAGGGAAACATCTCCTCTTACTCCAGCCAGCTAAAAGCTATGAGGTGGAGAGACTAGGCTCTCAGGGAGATGCTGGGTTTTCTCTCTGCAGTGACTAGAGAAGGAGCCTAAGCCATGAACATGGGGTAACTTTAGGATAGATGCAGGCGAGGGAGAAAAACCATATACCATGGGCTGCTGCGCAATGCCACCTTCTCTCTCAGATGGAAATAGATGGGCTGTCCCAGGGCATATGCTCTCTCAGGGGTTTCCTGATGCCATCACCAGTGATGCCACTTGAACTCGCCATCCACTGTCATCTTGCTGACTTCAGAGGATGTCAGATGGGGTTTTCAGATGCTGCAGAGACCCAGCTGCCAGCTGTTAGCACAAGCACAGCCAGAGTCCGAAGAGAAGTGCCAGCAGCCACTGGACTTGGTCCATCCGGATGGATGGCTTAACAGATTTTTGGGTCAAGCTTTTATTCTGCTTTAACCCTTCCTTTGTTATCTCTGACCATCCTGGAGACTGAGTTTGGCTTTTACAATGACAGCAAGGAAACTTTTAAGCATATTCACATGCAGTTTTTGAATATTATTAGGGAACCTGAGTTCCCAGGAGTTACCCGTTCCTTGGACTGACAGCACGTTTACATTGACTGGTGGGGTGAACGACAGGGTTGCAACTACCCCTCTTCTCCTCAATAGGAGAGAGAGACCTGTGACAGCAGCACTTGAAGGATTTTCTTGTGTTGCCATCACAGAGTGGCTCACTGAGGCTGTATGCAGAGCAACCCAAAAAGAGCATCGAGAGGGAAATTATTGTCCTCCCTTCTTGAAGTACCAGCCTTGTGGTTACACTTCTCCATCCTTCCCTGTCAGGCAGCCCCATCACGCCCAACTACATCGACAACTCAACTTCCAGCATAGCTCCCTGGTGCACGTGCAACGCCAGCGGCAACAGGCAGGAAGAGTGTGAGACCTTTCTGCATCTCTTCACCGACAACATCTGTCTCCGTAAGTATCACCCTGCATGTTGCTGCTCTGGCCAGCGAGCCAGTGAGGCTTCTTGGGAGTGAGGGTATGAAGATGCTCTGGTCCTCAGGAAGGTCTAAGTGCCCAACTCCCTGTGCTTTCAGCAAAGGAACTCTGAAGACCCTCAGGCATATGTTTGAGGGATGAAGTCAAAGGAAGCTGGAAAAGGGATGAGTATGCTTTCCCTTGGAAATGTTGCACTGACGACATTTTTCTCCGTCTTTTTCTCCACACAAAGAAAATGCCATTCTGGCCTTTGGCAATGGGACCTACCTGAATGCAGCTGTGGCCCCATCCATCCCCCCCACCACACAGATGTACAAGCAGGAGAGAAATGCCAACAGAGCTGTGGCAACCCTCAGAGAAAACATCTTCGAGCACCTCCAGCCCACCAAGGTAGGAGAAGGGCTCAGCTGGCCCTAAGAGATGCTTGGCTGTGTCTGTACCTCCTCCAAGCCCTCCAGCCCTCCTCACCTCAGCTTCCTCTTCCACCTGTGTCATTTCAGCTACGTGCAGACATACAACTTCCTCGCTACCTCCTGGAGCCCCCAGTTCACCCTCTTCTTCATGCCCTGGCCTATTCTTCCCCAACATCAAGCACAGAGCTACCTGCTTCTATTCCTGACTCTGCCTTCCTGCCTTTTGGTCACGTTTTCTTTTCTTTTGTGGGTACTACAGAGAGATGTGGGGTTTTTTTTAGAAGTGATGGGAAATCCGTGGGCTTTTCAGGGGTGGAGAAGGGGAGTCAGGACCACTGGCTTGGGTCCTCACCCTCTTGCTGGCCAGCCACATGGCTTCAGCCAAGAGATTCCTCCCTTGTCAGATGAGGATCCTGGAGGTCTTAAGGTAGAGGCTTAACCGACTAAGGTTTGCTAAGCATTGCAGAATTTCAGATGAAAGACTCTAGTCATCAGCAAATCAAAATACTATTACTCTGAAATTATTTTAAAACAAATAACAGATTAAATTACTGATGGTGGCAGTAGTAGGCGTTACATATTTTATTTTTAAATAAAAAAGGAGTGACCTTGATTTGCCACCTACCAGAGCAATTTCCAGATTGAATTATTTTACTATTGAATAATTAACAGTGACCCTGATTTGCTGAACGTTCAGGTAGCAGAAGCTGTCAGTTAACTAGTCTCCAAGGACCAAGCATGGGCTTTGCACAAGGCTAGCTGATACCCTCAGAGAGCTTCCTCATGCAGGCTTTTTTTAGCCTCTTCCCTGCGTTTTTTTTTTTTTCTCTCTTTTTTATGAGAAAACACCCAGTTCACCTCCCTCCACTTCGTTTTCACAGAGCAGCAGGTAAGGAGGTGCAGAAATGTGGCCTCAGGCTCCCTCACTGCTTTTCAGGGCACTGGTGGCCACGCACAGCACAGGCAGACCTTCATCAGGCCATGGACTTTGCACCCATGAGATTTGGAGGATTTGCTTCTAGCTGGTGCTCCCTACAGCTCAGGGCAATCCCAAGTACTGGCCTGAAGTCCAGACTTTGCACAGAGAGCTTTATGCTAGAAGTGATGGAGAAGCTCCTTCATCACTGGCAGCCCCGCCCAGAGAGCCAACTGGAAGGAAGTTGAAGAAAGCAACTGCAGTAAGGAATGGTCTTGCCCCACCACCAACCTCCTTGTGACAGCAGCACATCCCTCTGCTGAGGCGTGAGTGCTGCTGGAGCATGGTCTCTGCTAACATTGCAAGAGAAACCAGAGAGCTGGGTCTTGATATTGGACTCAACTTCCAATCCAGAGCCTGTTCAATGTTTAATGTGGTTGGGTCTCCCTGGACCTGACAGATTTCCCATGTTCACAGCAGTGCAGAGACCTGGCTCTAAATTATCTCGTCAGTTAATGCAAGCATAGGTCTCAAGTAAAGCAAATTTTCAGCCACAGATGTCAATGTGCCATGAAAGGAGAAGAGTGCAGTTTGTTTGCACAGGGCAGGCACTCAGGGTGGGAATCAGTCGCATAAAGACACGCGTTGTATTTTGTAGTAAACCATGTGGCTCCCAGCTGCTGCTGGGTGAACTGTCTGCCAGCCCCATGGAGATGTATTCAACACCCAGGGGATGTCTCCACCTGAAGAGGCCACCAGGTCCAAGGCCCTGGCCAGCAGTGGCTCCTTAAGCTGCATATATCTCCACTGACCTGAGAGAAGGACCCTCCAGAGATCATCTAGTCCAACTCCCCTGTGCTAAAGCAGGATTGAACAGAGCACATCACACAGGGTGGCCTCCAGGCAGGTTTTGAAAGTCTCCGGAGAAGGAGTCTCCACAGCCTCTGTGCAGCCTGTTCCAGTGCTGTCACCCTCACAGTAAAGAAGTTTTTCCTCATATTTAGATGGAACTTCCCATGTTCCAGCTTGTGCCTGTTACATCTTGTCCTGGGCACTGCTGAAAAGAGTCCATCTCCATCCTTCCTGCACCCATCCTTTAGATATTTATAGACATTGATGAGATCTCCTCTTAGTCTTCTCTCCTCCAGGCTAAACAGTCCCAGCTCTCCCAACCTTCCCTCAGAAGAGAGATGCTCCAGTCCCTCGGTCACCTTTGTGGCCCTCTGCTGGACTCTCTCCAGCAGATCCTTGTCTCTCTTGAACCCGGGAGCCCAGAACTGAACACAGTATTCCAGATGTGACATCACCGGGGCAGAACAGAGGGGGAGGGTGGCCTCCCTTGACCTCTTCTTAGTGCACCCCAGGATACCATTGACCTTCTTGTCAACAAGGGCACAGTGCTGGCTTGTGGTTGCACACAGAGACACACACATGGGGAGGCTGCACAGAACCCTAAATCCTCAGAGGGACCAAGGTGGGGGACAGCCACACCGCTCAGCCCGTGCTGTCTCCTTTCTCTTGCAGGTGGCCGGAGAGGAGAGACTCCTGCGGGGCTCCACTCGTCTGTCATCAGGGACCTCCAGCCCAGCAGCTCCCTCCCGCTGGGCAGCCCCTCTGCTGCAGATGTGGCTTCTCCGCGCTCTCGTCGTGCTGCGCTTCCTCGTGATGTGAAGCGGGGCGGGCACACGCCAGGCAGAGACTCTCTTTGTGTCGTTTTCTTTGCAAAACAACCAGACCTGTAACTTTTTTCAGAGGGAAGAGAGGGAGGAGGGAGGGGATATGAAGGAGAGGTGAGGGTATGGGCATCCCTTCCTCCTTCTCCTCCTCCTCCGTCTGCCAATTTATTTGATTTTATACAATCAGCATCATCGACAACCAGCTCCTTCCTGGTCCTGGCCATGTTTTCACCCCACAGCTTGGTTGTTCTCTCCAGCTCTCCGCAGGTGGGGTTGGAGCCATAGACAGTTCCCTTGGAAAAGGTGAAGGAGAGAGTTGAGCCAAGAAATGAGAGCTGCAAAGGAAATGCTTTTGCCTGCCCCAGCCAAGAGTGGAAAGACTTTTGTTGGATGAGCTGTCAGGAGGTTTCCTGAAGCCCTTGACTCGTGTTGGGGGGCTCTTGACAGCACACGTCAGGCAACGTGGAGTTCAGACTGTCTCCAGGGTTTCTCAGGACCTGAAGGGCTGTTGGTTCAGAGTGAAGAAACCAGAGCACTGGTGAGCAGGTGGCTGGTTTTGGTCACTGGAGAGGATCCTGAAGCACCTCTGGGGTGAGCCAAGTAAACACGCTACGAACTGGCTGGTGGGGATTACGCACCCACGTGAAACCATGGCCAGCGTGCAACCAGCATGCGTATCCAACCTGTCACCTACCCCTCAGGCCCTCCTTTTTACAGAAACATGTGTCATGTATTGATGGTGTTCAGGAAGAAACACGTGTGTTGCATTTTGTTCACTGCTGGCTTTCTTCGTGTCCCAACCCTAGCGCCTCTATTCATTGGTCCTGTAAAGTGTTGGGGGTAGGTATTTTTTGTCACATCAAAAAAAAAACCAAACCAGAGGCCAATGTTGTCCCACTCCAGTCTGACCTTTTTCCACGAGGGATGAATATATGAGCCCGTGGGCAGAACTAACCATGGCTTAGGAGTCATGGTGGTGTTGGATTTGATGATCTTAGAGGTCTTTTCCGATCTTAATGATTCTGTCATTCTGTGATGTGAGCCCAACGCAGCCCGTTCTCACAGTGCATCTGCTGGTCTCGCAGAGAGGCAGAGGATCTTCAGTCAGGGGATTTCATTAGTTTTCCTAGGAAAGATAGGATAGAAAAGATTTGCTAGATACCACCTTGGGGATAGAAATATCCAACCAACTTGTGAAAGAGCCAAGTCGTGAATCATGTCATGGGTAGGCAGTGGATTGCTATGGTTCCCCTCCTTGAAGAGCTGGCAGAGGTGATCGCTTGTGTCCAGGTTGGCCTGCCAAGCTCTATTTACTCAGTCATTTAAGCAAAAGCTGGTGAAGTGACCCATTCCACTGAGGTGCAACCAGAGCCCAGCTGGAGGGTGAGGACGAATGTCTCTCTGGTCTCTCAGAACACAGGGAGGCAGATGTGTGACCTCGGGCTACTGAAGCACTTGGTGATTTTCCCTTGAGGGGGTCAGCTGAGGACTCCTATTGCCTTCCTGGGGGGCTGAACCCCTCACTAGATCGAAAAGAAAGAAAGAAGATGGTAATCAAGAGTGAGGAGGTTTCCCAGGATAAATGCTTACCCAGGTCAGCCGCCACAGGAGACACAGACATAGCTCCAGATTCTCCCTGAGTATGTAGTCCTGGCCATTGCAGCAGCTCATTTATTCCTTTGTTTGTGCTCCTCCAAAGAACATCTTTAAATCCTTAGTGTTTGGATCCAACAGAAAGGCTTAGCAGCAGCTGGGACAGCAACGTCCGGAGCTTTTTATTCCCGTTCCCTGCAGAACTGTTTATTGCTTTAGGTTTTGCTGAGAAACTGCAGCAACTTTCTTGGCTTTTGGTCCAACTCTTTTTTTTTTTTTCAACTGAACACCTGTGGATGTGTAAGATGCACGGAAATCCTCCTGGCTGCATCCTGTCCAAAGTTCTGCTCCTTGAGATCCTCGGGGCTGTAGCACCTGGTTGTCCTAATACAGGGCCGTGCCAAGCGACATGCCAAGATCCATGTCTTGTGTGTAGGGTCACACTCTGAACCGACACGTGCATGTGAGATCCTCACTGGCCGGAGGCTCATCCAGATGAGAAAAGCAGGCAGAGAGATAATGCTACAGGCAGGAAAATCCCTCATCCCCTTTCAAACTTCCGTAGCCCTGCTCTTCAACACATCTGGTCACAGCAAGCCTGTCTCCACCAGCCTTTAATCTTCCAAGGGCTGAATCTCCACGTAGGATGGGCATGCAAGTGTCAGCTGATGTTGAAATTCCACTTTGCTGGTTCCTTCTCTGATGGGCAGCCAGCAGAGATCGACTTTTTCTCAGTGGTCAGGATGACTGGCAACTCAACTTCAGCTCTCCCTTAGGACTGCTATGCTGTGAACAATAGATGTGGAGACTCCTACTCATAGACTAGAGGGGGTGGAGAAGACCTCCAGAGGTTACCTAGTCCATTACCACGATCTGCTTCAGGATTAATTGTCTGTTTACACTTTCTGGCAGATTTATCTTTAATGATTTTTAACAACTTCAATGAGAGACATCTTGTCCCCTGGATTTATATCTCGCTTAAAGACTCCTTAGGTTGTTAGTTGTCTTTAAGCATCACAGGCCAACAAGACTTTCAATTCCATTATGGTGTCCTCTCAAGTCTTCAGTTTTGGAAGGATAGCAGACTGATAGCTAGAAGTGCCTTGAGGCTGTGGAAAGTGTCAGCCAACTATCATGGATCATGTCACAGAGGCATTGTGTGAGAAGGTCAAAAACATGTCGAGAGTCTGCCAGGATACCTGCAAAAACTTGGTGTAAATGGGTGATACATTGTAAGTGGGTGTTTGCTGGGGGGGTTTCCTCCCTGTGTCTTTGATTGAGGGACCTCAAAAGCATCAGTTGAGTTGAGGTTGCATGTCTGAAAATGTACTCCCTGACCTCAGCTTCTGTCCTGTGCTGTGAGTTTGGATAACAAGCACTGTCCCAGGCCAGGTCCTCCACTCCCAAGGCTTCCTCAAGGTCTGGGGATGCTTTGAAATGAAGTGAGTGAGGCACAAAGCAGGGAGCCCAGCAGGAAAGAGCCAAGGGGTTGGGATGGGCAGATGTAGATGTGATGCTCAGAGACAGGGTTTAGTGGTGGACCTGGCATTGCTGAGTTGGTGGTTGGACTCGATGGTCTTAAAAGTTTTTTCCAACCTAAAAGACTCTATGATTACATCAAATCAAAAAAAAAAAAAATCCCCCAACCTGCATGACTTTTTCCTGATCATTTCACTCTTTTTGCCAACATTTAATGTCAATTCTCCCTCCAAGCCTGTTCATGAATCAAGCTTTGCAAACAAACCCGATGCCTTTTGAACAATTCTTCTGAAGGAAGAAAACCTGATTAAACTCATCCCCATCCACAACCACACGGGTGTGCAGGCCGTTTCTTTTCCCTTGTGAAAAGCCAGTAATCTTTTGTGGAGGAAACCACATCTCTGTTGAACTCCGTGAAGTGAGCCACAGGTCTTCAGTTTTTAAGCCTCTTGACTAACCACCAAAGTCACAGCAGCTGCTTGTAAAGGCAAAGGACTGAGTGAGCCAGGAGAAAGAAGAGGAGACAAATTTTTTTAGGAATTGCTCCATGCTTGGGGACTTTCATAAGCACAAAGAAGACTCATGAGAGGGGGGGGGGAAAAAGAAGAAGAAAAAAGAACCAGCCAAACTTTCTGTAGCCACCGAACTCTACTTTTTTTGGCTGCTCAGCACCGTTCCCAGTGGTTTGGCAGCCCTGAAAGCCCATGAGATATTGTGTACGTATAAATACCACATCGTTGTCAAAACAAGAGCGTGAGCAGGGAGGGGCACACGGCGGGTGCTGGAGCAATAACCCCAGGGGTGATGCTAAGCGAGCGTACGTGTGCACGTATGGGAGGGCGATCGATGTCTGCCTACACCGCTGGGGTCTAACCTGTACTTCTCTCTTCTGTACATGTCAATATTCAAACATATCCATGAATAAAGCACACATGCATTTTCCTGACCCCTTTGCTCCCGTCCGTATCCGCTTGACCAGCCTGGTGCCGAGCTCACCAGTCCGATGCCGTATGGGCAGTTGGAAGATATTGGGGGGGATGTTTTGGAAGTCGGGATTTCGGCAGATGATCTTCTGCCCCCCAGAAAGGAGAAGCAGCAGGTGAAAAAAACGATGGAGAGACAGGGATGCTGCCAAGGAAGGCAAAAAGGACCCAAGCTAATCCTGGAGCTGCTTGTGCTGCATGAGGCGGTGACACGTGCCAAGATTTGGGAGCGATTTGGGGAGGATTTAGCTCAAAACTGGTGCCAGTAGAGGAGAAGGGTGGCATCACAAGATGTAGCAAGGATGGGAATAATTGCACCCATAGTTAGTGGCACGTAGAGCTGCTAGATGCTGAGATGTCACCACGTAACCTGGGTGGGTGGAAATAATAGGGGCAGCCGGTGCTGCACCCTCCCGCGGAGCACAGGAGGAGGGGAGAGGGATGAGGAGGACGATGGAGGTTCATGCCAGCCAGGGAGACTTCTGTTCATGCCAAGAACATCTGTGAGTTATTTTTGGCACCTTAATAAAAAAAAAAAAAAAAAGGAAAAAAAAGCACAGGGAAATTGATTAGAGGCAAATTGAATGTTTTCTTGCCAATTCTGGGTAAAAAAAAAAAAAATCTAGAAAACAAATGTATATAAAATTTATATACTTAGGTCAAACTCTGGAATGTTGCATCTTTTCTTCCTGAAAAATCACATTTGTCTTCATGCATGCATGAAGCAGCTGAGAGGGGAAGCAAAGCCTGAGGGTTTGGGCCAGACTCGGGACCCTCATCAAAGCCGCTTTGTTCCCCACACTGCATGGGCTGCTTCAGCGCCTGGGGTTTTGCCGAGAAAAAAAACAACTTCCTGGTAAAGTTCCAGCTGGTTGAACCTGAAATGTGCTGTGAAAACATCGCAGGTTTGATGTATTTTCCCTGCTTCTTGGCAGGCGGC